AATCCTGAAGTTTCATGTTGATCCTCACCGTTCTTTTAGCAAGTAAATGGTCTGGAGTGAGCTTCATCTTAGTGCTTATATAGAAAACAAATGCGTCAGTGCTCACTGCTTCCGGAAGAGCTAGTTCCTCTTCATCTTGAGGCGTTGCAGTCAAGATCCGGATGCCACCGCATTGATTTGCTCCAATGGTGAAGTCCACCCTACATTTTGAATGTCCGCACAGAAAGTATAGCGCGGCTGTGCCAATTTGTAATAATACACAGTACTAGGCTGGGGTGTCAGCCATCTTCTTAATTTCTAACCTCTTCTTCCTCCTCGTCTCCCTCCAACCCTGCCGAACGTCCACGTACAACTGATATTAACGTGATTCCTTTACTGATATGAAACCTGCCTAAGGCAAGCTTGCAAACAAGTCCCAAGCACCGGCGTGGCTCAGTGGTAGAATACTGGGCTGATACGCAGCGGACCCGAGTTGGAGCCCCACTAGTGTCCTTGGTACCAGGGTTTTTTTTTTTTCTTTTCGCGATAGTGGTTACGGACATCAGCGACGGCGATAGGAGCGGCCGCGGCAGACAACTACGGTTCCGCATGTGACCTAAGTTTTGATTGATTGATGGTATGTGGGGTTTAACGTCCCAAAACCACCATATGATTATGAGAGACGCCGTAGTGGAGGGCTCCAGAAATTTCGGCCACCTGGGGTTCTTTAACGTGCCAAAATCTGAGCACACGGGCCTACAACATTTCTGCCTCCATCGAAAATGCAGCCGGGATTCGAACCCGCAACATGCGGGTCAGCAGCCGAGTACCTTAGCCACTAGACCACCGCAACGGGGCACCTAAGTTTTGATCTCATAACAGCTTTCACTGTAAAAAGGCTCAGAAAAGCCGCTCTTCCAGCGTTCACTGTGACAGTGCTGGGCCCTCCGTGCAGGCCTGGTGGTTTATTTAATTTCCCAGCTGATGACATTCATACCTGCCAGGTTGGCAGCACAGGCATTAGGGAGATGCAACCGGGGGGAGGAGGGGGGGGGGGGATCACGGAGGATGGAGTTTTTCACACGTTTTTTTCTCAAGATTGAGTTTTTTTGGAGTTATCATGGCACAATAATGGTATAGTTTTTGTAAACCGCCAACAACCTACCCCGCTGTGGTCACCACCACCAAATCTTCGACGTGGCTTTTTCGAGAAGTCCTTCGAGCACTGTTGGACATAACAATGTTCACCGCTGCCACTCCAACACTTTGCCAAAAGAATGTTTTTTTTGCACGGAGAAACTGCCTGTGAAGTCCAACCTTAGCACCATGCTAGTCCAAGCTGTCACTCAAAGAGCAGTCCAAGCTGTGTCACTCGCAGTTACATTACTGCCCAATTTTCGTTGTGGCAGATTTGGCCCTCTTCAAAAACTCCTCAGAATATACTTGCGAATAACACGGTCCGCGGCTATGACATTTGGCCTGAAAGTAGTTGCCCAAGTGTCTTGTCTGACATGGAAGCGCGGAACTCTGTTCGAGTCTTCCTCACAATGCTGAACTGCCGCTTGCATTCAGCATTGCTGTGCAATAGCTAAAAGGATTCCCAGCATCACTTGAGCAATGCGACTGAATTTCATAAGTCCATCTACGCCTTTCAGCAGCGAGATTTTTCTCCACTGCACATCGGCCCGTTTTTCTTCCAGTATTATTGTAGGAATTTTGAGAGACTGCATCTTCACAAATTCCATTTCCAGTGCATTAATAGCTTGATCTCAGGTCTCTTACTCGTTTTGTGGCAATAACGCTGGAAGCCGCTCAACAAAGAAAAGAACATTCTTAAATGACATGTTATCCATAGCTTCAATATCCGCAACATGTGCATTGATCAAAGCCTCATTTCTAAAAGGAAATTTGAGGTGCATGTAGTCGCATGCAACAACCATGTACCTTCTAACAGCCTCAAAAAATTCCTTTTTGTCACTTTGGCTTAAGCTTTTCAACAACACACTTAGCTTGGTGTCCTATTACCAAGTCTTGGTCATCTTTTGCACATTTCTGCTGTGGTAGTCTATCAAACAGATGTCATTGTGCTGCTTTAGCAGTGCTGGCCTCACAAACCTTGAAAGGATGTCCTCAAGAAGGTCAATCAATCAATCAAAAAATCTTTTATTTTCACCATTTTATAGAGAGGTGAAAAAGGGAGAACTGGAGAAAAAGCCGATAGTTCTTCGGCTTGACAAAGCTCCGGTCCCCCAAGCAGACAGTGGTGAAGTTTGTTTCAAAACAGTAGAAGAAAGCATGCTACAAAGTATAAAGCATTAAAGCAATAATAACATTTCAACTGAATATGAAATAAACATTGCGATGAAGGAAGAGAAATGTATAAATTAAAAACAACTATACAGCCACTACAAAGTACAACCGCGAAACACTTTTTTTTATAACATAGAAAATTACTATAACAGCAGCATGCTATCAACAACATGGTGGTTTTTTTTTTTCTAATCCTATGTTAATGAGCCGTTACAGGAACCTTGTCCAACATAAGTTGGACAAGGTTTAGAAGTATAGGCTGTAGCTTGTGTATCAGGGGTGCCTGTGCTTGCAGGCGGCAGTTGACTGTCTCAAAAGCAGGAATAATGTTATTTAAAAACAGACAGCAAGCTTTGCTAAGCTCCGAGCTCAAGAACACGAACAGTCGTTCCTCACGTGTTATGCAAGTTGATCCAGTCTTGCACACATCAATAGCCTTCACTTTTTTCACAGGCACAGGTGTCGATTCAACAGACTCTTTTTCTCTTCTGTCTGAACTGGTGCTGCTCAGTGTTTTCAGTTTGTGCTGGCATTTTGGGAATGTCGTAGTAGGTCAGAAATTGGGACCCAGTAGAGGCATCTCTTTTCACTTCTTGAAGGAAAAAACTCAAGAGCGGTGCCCACTGATATAGGAGCCTTTCCAGGCATTTTCCCAGCGAAAGCCATCTGGTTGGAACGTGCTTTAGAATCTTGCGAAACTCCTTATTGTACAGTCCGTGAAACTCATTAAGCGAACTTTTCTTTTAGAACTTCTTTCTAAATAATAAAAAATGTCCACAAGGACTTCGTCCACCTTCGCTGGGAGACAAGAAGCCGCCTTTTCAGCCGCAATGTGTATTAAATGGCATGGGCATCCAATTTTCACAATGCTTTCATAGGCCTCGGTTAGCGCTGCCGTTACGCCATTCTTATTGTCCATCATCACGTTGGCATTGTCACAACAAAAAGCTATGCAATTAGACTATGGCACATTCAATGACGCAAAACTGTCCATAATTAACTTGGCGATGTTGCGCCCCAGTTGAAGGGCCTTCCAGGGTGCTTAAAGTAAGCAGTTATGCTCTCGATAAGGCCCGATTTTTCGCAAAGAAGGTGGCCACGATGGGGTACAGCTGTGCCTAGCTGTCGTTCGAGCCGTCGGTGGCAACCACAAAAACTCGTCTTTTCAAGGCACTCACCACACACTCTTGTGCATGGCCTGCCATTTCGCCGACAATCATTGTAGTCTTAGTTCTAGCACAGCCATAGCGCTTCGCAACATCCAATTTTGGAAACATCTTCCACAGCGAAGGGTCCCACATGGTCGGAGACACTCAACAGAATGCTGTGCTCAAGCAGAAAAGCGGTACACAAACATTCCGTATGTATCACATCATTGTGGCTGTCTTGCTTACCGAAAAATTGTTGCATTAGATGCTGTTTCTCCTGGCACTGAACATTGTTGGTGTACTTCTTCGACGAAACGTGCGCAACCACGTCAGTCCTGCCGCCGTGGGATATACTGATGTTGCACTTACAGATGGTGCAGAATGCATGGTGCTCACCTTTCGCGAGGCGATAACACAACCGAAATCTGTCGTATACTGCTTCAAGAACACCTGAAGATATTTTTTTCGCTCCTTGCTGAGTGCCATGGCAGACAGCAACGCGACACAGCACTAGCCACGCTAACAGCGCTCGCGACACAAGAACACAAGCAATGCTCAGAGAAAGAACGGCAAGTCGGTGTGCCAGCGGTGTCAGTGCTATCACTCAGCGACATCAGCGTGGAAAATACAGCAGAATCTGACGCTAGCACCACAACACCTGCCTTGCGCCTCATAGCTCACAGAGCAGGCGGCGCTGCATTCACATACTCGGAGAAGTACTGGCAGGCTCGCTCACTTTTGCGACGGCTCCGCTTGGTCGACTAGGCACATTCGAGCTCTTTAAAGATGGCGATGACAATCGGCACTCCGCACTCCGCGTGTGTGCATTCGTGCTAGGTTGCCAAACTAGAGCCTGCTTTGAGACAAACACGCAGGCACTTCCAGGATATTTCTATCTCGGTCGTACAATCATACAAAGCGGTCAAAATTCTGGAGTCTCCCGGGCAAATCGGGAGACCTGGCAGGTATGCTGATGAGTGACCATCACCAAGCCGCTCAAGGAAGAGGAAGGAGAGTTCTTTTTGGTGCATGCTCCAAATACTACACATGGAGCATTGCGGAAGCAACGACGACCGCATGCAACAGCCCCGGACCCCTAGAGTGCTCCACACTTGAAACAAACAAAGGCAGCATAGACAGTTAGTTACCCGCAGTGCATTAAAAGAATTTCCGGAATGTGTGGGTGTGCATAATTGATAAAATAAACACAAAATAAAAACAAGAAGACCACGCAGGCATGCTTATGGGATCACAGAATACGAACTTACATAAGTTGAACAAGAACAAACAGCTTCTTTTTTTATTTATTTACCAAATAATTATTTGTCAAGTACACGATCAGTACTACACTTAAAGAAGAATTGGAAACAGTATGCCTCAGATGGTTTTAAGAGCAACACGAACACTACGTACATCGATAACGGGAGCGTGTGCCAAAATCACGCCGTGTAGTCGCGAATTTTCTACAGAAATTTCGCAGATGACAATGCGCCTTCAAAGGACCTATGCTGGTGAATTCATTCTTTCAGGAAAATTACCGAAGAGAGAAATGCTGACACACACCTCGTCCAGCGCCAAACTCAACGAAGCAGGAGTCACCGGTCAGCAGGCCCCAACTCTCAGCCAAGCTCAGCAGCGCCGCCTTCTGGAGCAGGTGTTTCTCGGCAACAGCGCAGCCAGTCAGCTTCTCGAGTTCCGTGACGAATGCCCTGTGGAGACCCGCATACTTCTCCGGCAACGCCACGTGACCTGCGAACGAGAAGCGTTGTTGTTTTTTTTTTCACAACAGAGAACTCTATTTGTTTCAGAGATGTGTAAACACAAGAAGGAAGGCGTTTGTGGTATCCTTCCTAATCGGGTCTGTGTTTTCAAAACGAGTTACTTATGTGCGACAAGACAAACCAAGTTTGCCATTAGAGGAGTCAAATCCGCTATATCCACGATAGGCAGCAGGATGGACTACCGGTTGCGCTACCATTGTAGTTTCTTCGAGTAGAGTTTCCTTGGTAAGTATGTACGTCTATTTGTCGACTCCCGGGAGCAAGTGTCTACGTTCCACTTATTTGCTCAAAGCCATCACGTAGCACTAGGACTTCAACAAGTGATGGGTAAACCTTCACATGCTGCGCAAAGCCAGTGAAATTGCTCAGACAGACAGCCATTGTCAAACAATGTCTGTGCATAAATTGACCTACAGAGTCTGTGTAAGTTTAAGGCACGTCTATCATTGCGATAGGAATTATAAGGACGTTTTCGGCTGATTATTTGCCATTGCCTTCACATTCCAAATATGTATATGTATTTGTATGTATAAAAAAGACACAAAGAAAAACCTGAAATTTTAACTGGTTTAGCAGCGATATGATTTTGCAAACCTCGGATCGAACTATGCGAAACAGCGGGCGCTAAGGCTTACACTAGCGGTGGCTTTGAGGCTCATCGCACCATTGTGCAGGAGAGAAACCTGGAGAGGTGAAAAGCGCGCAGTGATGAACTGGTGTTTCTTAAACTGGATTCACACGATGGACGTGATCGGGGACGTTTATAGATGACTATATATATATATATATATATATATATATAAGAAAAAATAGAGTACGACGCACGTTGGTTTTGCACGATATATTCTGATGATGTTTCGGATATATATATATATATATGGGAGAGAAGTGTATACCTAAGGGCTCGTTTTTTCCGTGTTTTGACACAATATTAATGAGATCTAACAGACAGTAATTCCAAGGAATGTACAGGGGAAGTTATTTGAACCAATGGAATGTAAATAAGAAGAAAGAAAGGTGGGTGAAAGAATAACCATTCTGGTTATTCTTTCACCCACCTTTCTTTCTTCTTATTTACATTCCATTGGTTCAAATAACTTCCCCTGTACATTCCTTGGCATTACTGTCTGTTAGATCTCATATATATATATATATATAGTTATCTTTTCAGCTACTTTTCTTCCTTCACATTCACATTAAAATTCGGTCTAATAACTTCCCCTATACTTTCCTTGCCATATTGTCTATTAGATATCATTACTACTGTGTCAAAACACAGAAAAATGAGACATTAAATATACACTTCTTTCCCTATTCATTAACGAGGGGGTCTCGCACTGACAGACTTGGTGACTTAGGTTGTATACGAGGAACTATTGGTGAGCTGCCGGCTTGTAATAAGTTCACGTGCTACGTGACGCCACCCAGGCTCACAAAGAGTGTGCCACACTCACCGCCATGGCTACTGATGGCACTGACTGAGACTCCCACGTTTAATTCACATGTATACCCAATAAAGTGGCTGGGAGGATAGTCCCCATGGTAGCTCAGTGGTAGAGCATTGAACGCGTTATACGAAGGCTACAGGTTCGGTCCCTGCCCACGGCAAGTTATCTTCGCACCTACTTATCCTTTTCACATTTACATTACCATTCGGTCCAATAACTTCCCCTATACTTTTTTTGGCATAATTGTCTGCTAGATCTCATTAATATTGTGTCAAAACACAGAAAAACGAGCCTTTAACTACACACTTCTTTCCCCAATGAAAGGCTTTAACTGGGGCAAAGTGTTTCCGCCTCGACGTTGAGTTCATGTGTGGAAAGATCAGGAGTCTTACTGTCAAAAAACATTTATATAAAAAAATTATATTGATGAAAAAATGCCCTAAATGCATATATGCATCATTCTATGTAAAATGTACCTCATCAATTTAGAACCATCTCTGATCATGCAGACAAAAAATCATGCAGGTATGTTTGAATGTGAGAAGTAGTTGCGAGGCATTTTAATTGGCAAAAAAATATGCGTTGCCTAGATGACGCTTCCAACTTCGGGCAACCATGTGAAAATGTGTCACGCTACATAATTTACGTACTGCTACTGGTTTAAACAATTACTACGAAACAATTTTTTCCTTAATTTAAACGTGCCATTCGTTCATTGGTATCACACTTTATTCATTCTTGTCTGAGCTTTCTTTGCCACCTTGCCGGAAAATTCCAATATGCTGCATGCATAGCGTTTTTACAAAACGCACATTTTATTTTCGCAGCAAAAGAGAGAGTTGGCCTAGTTGACTGGTATTCATAGTGGAACTGGGAAAAGATACAGCATCAGACCTTGTTCAGACCATTTTTTTGTGATTCTTCACTGCGTTGTTCCACTATGAACACATTCTTTTTGCCAGTAATATATTTATTTTTCAGTTTTATATGTTTATTTGAACCATGGTTGAAATATTTTTGTGTGAATTAAGCAAAACCATGTGAAAATATAGTTATAAAGTTAGGAAAACAGCATTTCTACTCATCATCATCATCAGCCTGACAACGTCCACTGCAGGACAAAGGCCTCTCCCATGTTTCGCCAGTTAACCCGGTCCTGTGCTTGCTGCTGCCAATTTATACCCGCAAACTTCTTAATCTCATCTGCCCACCTAACCTTCTGTCTCCCCCTAACCCGCTTCCCTTCTCTGGGAATCCAGTCAGTTACCCTTAATGACCAGCGGTTATCCTGTCTACGCGCTACATGCCCTGCCCATGTCCATTTCTTCTTCTTGATTTCAGCTATGATATCCTTGACCCCCGTTTGTTCCCTAATCCACTCTGCTCTCTTCTTGTCTCTTAAGGTTACACCTACCATTTTTCTTTCCATTGCTCGCTGCGTCGTCCTCAATTTAAGCTGAACCCTCTTTGTAAGTCTCCAGGTTTCTGCTCCGTAGCTAAGTACCGGCAAGATACAGCTGTTATATACCTTCCTCTTGAGGGTTAGTGGCAATCTACCTGTCATAATTTGCGAGTGCTTGCCGAATGTGCTCCACCCCATTCTTATTCTTCTAGTTACTTCAATCTCGTGGTTCGGCTCTGCGGTTATTACCTGCCCTAAGTAGATATAGTCTTTTACAACTTCAAGTGCACTATTACCTATCTCGAAGCGCTGCTCTTTGCCGAGGTTGTTGTACATTACTTTTGTTTTCTGCAGATTCATTCTAAGACCCACCTTTCTGCTCTCCTTGTCTAACTCCGTAATCATGAGTTGCAATTCGTCCCCCGAGTTACTCAGCAATGCAATGTCATCGGCGAAGCGCAGGTTACTAAGGTACTCTTTATTGACTCTTATCCCTAACTGTTCCCATTCTAGGCTTCTGAAAACCTCCTGTAAGCACGCGGTAAATAGCATTGGGGAAATTGTGTCCCCCTGCCTTACACCCTTCTTGACTGGTATTTTGTTGCTTTCTTTATGAAGCCCTATGGTAGCAGTTGATCCCCTGTATATTTCTTCCAGAATATTTATATATACTTCATCTACGCCCTGATTCCGCAGTGTTTGCATGATGGCTGATATTTCTACTGAATCAAACGCCTTCTCGTAATCTATGAAGGCTATGTATAGTGGTTGGTTATACTCTGAGCATTTCTCTATTACCTGATTGATAGTATGAATGTGGTCAATCGTTGAGTAGCCTGTTCGAAATCCTGCTTGTTCCTTTGGTTGATTGAATTCTAATGTTCTCTTTACTCTGTTAGCAATTACCTTTGTAAATAACTTGTATACTACAGAGAGCAAGCTGATCAGCCTGTAATTCTTCAAGTCCTTGTCATCTCCTTTCTTATGTATTAAGATGATGTTAGCGTTCTTCCAAGACTCTGGTACTCTTCCCGTCAGGAGACACCTCGTAAACAGGGTGGCTAGTTTTTCTAACACAATCTGTCCTCCATCTTTCAGCAGATCTGATGTTACCTGATCCTCACCAGCAGTTTTGCCCCTTTGCATGCTCTCCAAAGCTTTTCTGACTTCTTCTATCATTACTGGTGGGGTGTAATCTGGGTTACTGCTAGTTCTTATAGTATTAAGGTCGTGGTTGTCTCGGCTACTGTACAGATCTCTGTAAAACTCCTCCGCTATTTTAACTATCCTATCCATATTGGTAGTTATTTTGCCTTTTTTGTCCCTTAGTGCATACATCCGACTTTTGCCTATCCCAGGTTTCCTCTTCAATGCTTTGACACTTCCTCCGTTTTTCAGAGCGTGTTCAATTCTCTCCATGTTATACCTTCTTACATCGCATACCTTACGTCGATTAATCAACTTCGAAAGCTCTGCCAGTTCTATTTTGTCTGTTGTACTTGACACTTTCATGATTTGACGCTTCTTAATTAGGTTCTTCGTTTCCTGGGAAAGCTTGCCAGTGTCCTGACTAACTACCCTGCCTCCAACTTCCACTGCACACTCCGTAATGATACTCGTCAGATTATCATTCATTGTATCTACGCTAAGGTTGGTTTCCTCACTAAGAGCCGAGTACCTGTTCTGCAGCGACACTCTGAATTCCTGCACTTTCCCTCTCAGTGCTAGCTGATTGATTGGCTTCTTGCGTATCAGTTTCTGTCGTTCCTTCTTCAAGTCTAGGCGAATTCGAGACCGTATATTCTATGGTCACTGCATCGTACTTTGCCAACCAGTTCCACATCCTGCACGATTCCAGGGTGTGCACTCATTATAAAGTCTATTTCGTTCTTATTTTCGCCATTAGGGCTTCTCCATGTCCACTTGCGGTTTTCTCGTTTTCGGTAGAAGGTATTCAAAATCCGTAAATTATTGCGTTCTGCGAATTCTACTAGTAGCTCTCCTCTGGCGTTTCTTGTACCGATGCCATAATCTCCTACTGCCTGGTCTCCAGCCTGCTTCTTCCCTACCTTTGCATTAAAGTCGCCCATCACTATAGTATACTGTGTTTTTACCTTA